AATCCTGTATTGCTAGGATCAAGATTGTATCTGTTGTTTAGAAAGGCTGGACTCTCTTCCTTGTGACACACTACCAATTTGCCCTATTTAAACTATGTCTGGTATAGCCCTTTGCTCTTCAGAAATATCCATCTGATAATAATGGAGACAGAGTCATTATGTTCCACAAAGAGAACATTCAGGAGACAGAGAGGGGTGTGTGTGTGTGTGTGTGTGTGTGTGTGTGTGCGCGCGCTCCCGCCTCACAAGAGTTCTTGTGTATTGAGTCAGCAGATGGGAGCAGAAGTCTTGTCCTCCCTGCCCCCCCCGAATATTTTTTGCCTAATTGCAAGTATCCTCACGAATCAGTTATTCTAAAGGAATGCATCTAATGATGACAACCTCTTTTCCAGCTTTAATTTCAGTTCCCATACAACGATAATAGCTACATTATGTCAGCAGAGAAGCGATTTGACATAAATATGTAATAGTTTTCCAGCAGTAATAGCTGAATTGTGGCAATTTATTTTTAGCCAGAGGTAATAAGCAGTGTATCTTTATATTTAATTAAACCCGCAATTGCAACACTTTCCAGCCATGGCAACATAACTTTGTCTATTTGCCACTCCCAGCTAATGTTTTCGTTTAGAAAAGAGAAAAAAAAGAGGGAAGGAAAGAAAAAGAGAGGGTGGAAGTGTTCAGAATTTGAAGTGATCCATGGCAATTAACAAGCTATATCATCTGAGAAATAAAAGCCCTTTGTTCAGGGTGTCCGCCATAAATCAATTTTCTGTCACTTCAGAAAGCAGAAACGATTTTGTTTTTCATAGCAAGGATGAGTCATAAAGGATATTTGTGCTCTAAAAAAAATGAATTGTAGTTAATATGTATACAGCTGGTGGATGTGAACCAAGAAAAATACTGTGGGGAGGAATTCTATGACCTTATAATTTATAATTTTCATGACAAAATGTCTAAGTCTCTTTGCTCTGCACATATGTTAACCTTTAAAAATGCTAAGAATAAGCTGGCTTTGTGAGCTTTCATCATGTATAATTAAAATGTAGACTATTAATTTAATGTATTTATGTATTCAAAATGTTTATGTCCTGCTCAACTTTGTATTAAACTAAACAATTAGAGAAACAAACTCAAAAATATAAAGAGGAATGCATAAGTCATAGGAATACACCAAGTAACTGTAAAGCCAGGTTAGATGGCAACTCCCATGGAGAATAAAAAGAGTGCGTAAGCACCATTTTTAAAGCTTGATTCGCTTTGGAAAGGCCTACTTGATTCATAGGGGAAGGGCCATGTCTCAGCTGCAGAGCATCTGTTTGGCCTGCAGAAGGTTCTTGGTTCAATCCCCAGCATCTTCTGGTAGGGCTGTGAGAGAGTTCCTGCTCTTTGGAGAGCTGCTTCCAGTCAGCAGAGAACACTGAACTAAGATGGACCAGCGGCCTGGCTCCATATAAGGCAGCTTCCTAGGATAAATGAGTTTTGGACCAAACTAGATGGAACAGGGGCATACTTCCCCTGAACCTGGAAGCTCCATATAGCCACCATACTATTGCAGCCGGTTATCGTAAGAACTGCCCTTCAACTTTAGGAACTGGTATCTGAGTTTCCTCCTCTTAACCGCCCCATTCCTCCCCCATATTTTATGTTCTGTCTTTTAGATTGCAAGCTTGGCAGCAGGGACTGTGTTGTTTTAATTGATTGTATATCAGCTGCTCCTGGAGCCTTTTTGGCTGACAAGTGAGATACAAATCCTCTAAAATAAATAACAATAAATCCTAACCCCAGCAGCCATTGATAGACCTTTCCCCCCAATTAATTTGTCAAATCCTCTTTTAATAATCCTTGAGGTTTGCTGATGTTAAGAACAGCTGTCCCCCCAGCCCACCTCCAATATCAGTTAGTGGCCCAAGCAGCAAAAAAAAAATGCTTAAAAGCAGCGGAGAGTAGTGAGGTTGGATTGGGATACTTCCCTGGCACTGCTGTTAATGTTGAAAGAAAAAAGAACCCAACTATGCTTCAGATGTGAAGGAAGCAGAAACGTGTACTGTATAAAATACACGTGCCTGACCCATTATGTCTATTTTGGAGTTTTGATGAATATTTGGAACAATGCCCTGGCTATTAAGAAAGCCTGTTTTCATAAGGTTAACTCAGTATTTCTGCATATTCTGATAGCTGGTGTGACAGTGATCACATCTGACATTTGGGCGGAGAAAACAGTATCTCCCCATAACGCTTTCATCAAACCCAGGGCTCCCAAATTCAGCGGAGAGCTCCCTCTCTCATCTTTATGCAGTACAGAAAATGAAAGGCACATAATCTATTTTCACTGCCAGTCAGGACTCTGAAAGGAGGTGAGGTTCTTTGAACTACAGAAGTAAAATGTAAGCAGTTCTTTAGTGTCACAAACATTAAATGAAGGCATGTCATGCCAGTGCACCAGCATTCGCACTGCTTTCCTATTACTTTCCAGACACAGTTCAAAGTGCTGGGTTGTTTTTTTTTAATCTATAAAGTCCCAGGTAGCTTGGGCCAACCAATACCATAGAGACTGCCTTTTCCTCTACATTTTAAGATCTGCTGAAGGCATCTTCTTTCCCCCCCTTAACTTTATTTTTCAGTTTCCCCAAATGCATATAACAAACAATCCCTATGTACCACCACAAGAAACATTCCATGCATATGCAATGATTTAGCAGGTTTGTATAATAGTTTAGAGTGGATTGCATCAGCTAGGCATCTTCTACTCTCTGTGTTAACAGATTGTCTCAAATTGAGCCATGGGTAGCTGGTGGCAAGGAGACAGCATTGCCCATTCCAGTGTATTGGATGAACATGTATCATGCACTTTCAAAATTGTCTTTGGTCTTTGTCTTCCTTGTATCCTTTGTGTCTTCCTAACCGTATCGTCAATAATAATAATAATAATAATAATTTATTATTTACACCCTGCCCATCTGGCTGGGTTTCCCCAGCCACTCTGGGCGGCTTCCAACAAAATATTAAAATACAGTAGTCCATGTGCCAAGTTGAAACAGTAAAGGAACATAGACACACATTGTCAGTGGTTGCCCTGCAATTGGGGAACACTGCTCAGCTAGAGCTGGGAGAGGGAACCTGTGGCCCTTCAAATATTGTTGGACTTCCAAGAACTTGCCCAAGGCCTGTTTTTCTGTTTTCCATACAGTAGTAGTCCATCCCTCTCCATTGGCCATGTGGGCAGGGGCTGATGGGAGTTGAAGCCCTAAATGGCCTCGGTCCTGTATACCTGAAGGAGCGTCTCCACCCCCATCGTTCAGCCCAGACACTGAGATCCAGCGCCGAGGGCCTTCTGGCGGTTCCCTCATTGCGAGAAGTAAGGTTACAGGGAACCAGGCAGAGGGCCTTCTCGGTAGTGGCGCCTGCCCTGTGGAACGCCCTCCCAGCAGATGTCAAAGCAATAAACAACTATTTTACTTTTAAAAGACAACTGAAGGCAGCCCTCTTTAGGGAAGTTTTTAATGTTTGATGCTGTACTGTTTTTAATATTCAGTTGGAAGCCACCCAGAGTGGCTGGGGAAACCCAGCCAGATGGGCGGGGTATAAATAATAAATTATTATTATTATTATTATTATTGAAGTTCCCCACCCCTGTCCTCAATGTCTGGGCCTGACATTTCCCACAAGAACAGTAATAAAGCTTCCCCTTTAGGGTCTTACATTTGGGTTCAGCTGATGTAAGGTTTTCTCCTTTTCTTTTTTCTTCTTTATTTTCTTTCATTTTTTATGTTTAAAAAGGCTTGATATCTGATGCTTATTTCTGTATACTGTTTCTTCTTTGTTCTTTCAAGTTATAATTAAAATTAAAGGATTTTTTTTTTTTAGTTTTAATGAATATTTTGTTTTATCTTGGGGTTGTTGTGTTTTAAAGCAACAACAACCCTGTTATCTTTTCCAAACTCTAGATAAATGGAAACTGAATTAACTGAATAAATAAAAATTAAGTTAAAGAGTAATGAACTTACTGAGATCTGAAAGAGTACACAAAATAGCGAGGATTTTCTTTGGGGATGGTGGGGTCCTTTATAGTCTATAGACAAGCCTCTTTCTCTCCCCTCTCCCAATTCAGATTAGTTTGAACAGATGCCCAAGTACTTTGCAGTAGCGCAGTCTTGTTTTTTCATGTGACAACTTGTCTGTGGTAAACATTTGAAAATGCAACATGAAATGATAGGTGCTTTCAGAGCTCTTTTTGTTATTTTTTTCCTGCTGATGCAGGATCATTAGCTATGATTAGAAAAAGACTGTGATCATCTGACTTTTATGGATTATTTGCCATGACAGGAGTGGATGGTATATGTTTTAGGTGAAAAGAATGACAGTCTGAAGTGCAATGGTTGCTATTTGTGCATTTTCACCAAGGATAATCTGCATCCCCCGCTTTCAGGCAGTGTGAAGAAAATAAAAGTTCTGCTAGGTAAAATTAGTTTCATAAAGTTGCCATCAGAAATCATATGTGCCAAGATGTTAAGTCAAGTGTGATGGCTTGTTCTGGATAGGGCTACGCTCACCCAAAAGGAAGAGGTCCATAGCTTGGGTGTTCTCCTGATTCCAACAGTACTACTGAGGCTAAGGTAGCATTGGTGGCTAGGAGTGCCTATTTCTAGCTACCACTGACTCTTCTTGAACAGAGATGACTTGGCTCCTGTACTTCATGCTCTGGTAGCCCCAAGACTGGACTACTGTAGCAGTCCATCTGCATTGACATTTATCAGTGTGAGAATCTCAAGAGCAGAGTATGCATGCTTAGGATTTTCTTCTTCTAAGGAAGAAAGGTTTTAAATAATACTGTTGTGAAATATCTCTGAGAATATTATTATGTGTTTTAGAGCTTCCCATTTTCTTCAAAAAAAGAAAAAGAAAAAAAAGCAATTATTTGATTAAGCCAAAGTTGCAGTGTGTCCCTAACTTTGATGTGGGTTATGTTATGTTAAATTTATTTCTCTACTCTTCTCTTGTAGATGGATGAATTTCGGAACAAAATGCAATCAATATTTCCATCAATTCCCAAAAATGCAGCACTGCCTGTTGAATGGGAGGACATTCTGAAATCCAAATGAGCAGCACGTGAAGGAACTTTGACTGAATTTTTAAAAAGCATAAGAGAAGTAGAGTGTATGGAGGAAATGTCCATTCCAAGGAATAGGGAGAAAGAAGGTCGTCACTCAGAGTCAATTGTATAGAACACAGTGAGCCATACGTTTGTGCAGCAAGAGTAAAATGTGCTGTTTGATCATAGTTGTTAACTTGGATGATGGTAACAGGTATAGTAAATGTAAATAAAGATCAAAATGTGGATGAGAATTTGTCTGAAGCAGTGATGTCAATGTGTTTTGAATACAGAGGTTGCCACTGTTTACTGACAAAAAGCTGTTGCTACCAGACAAGCAGATGGATAACAGTACAGGCTTGCTTTTCTGTCTCATACAGTGACGTTCTAAAGTGTTAAAAAGGGCAATCACAATCAGTGAAATACACTAAAATAGTTGTTAGTCCCCGTCTGCTGGATTAGCGCTAGCTAAAACTCCTCCACTGAAAACAAAGATGTAATATTACGCTTTTGCCTGGCACAGCTCATTTCTGTGTTTAGTCAGTGGGTGACCAAGAGCCAAAGGAAAAGAATGAACAAGGTCATGTAGATCTTTGATGTGCTCTAAGACAGGGATGGAGGACTTGTGTTCCTTCAGATGTCCCGTACTACAATTCCTTTCATCTTTTACTGTTAGCCAGGCTGGCTGGAGCTGGTGGAAGCAACATCTAGAGAGCCACATGTTACTCTTCTCTGCTTTAAGGTCTTTGGAGCACAATTCAGGGGATAGGATGGGGGTGGGGTGGGCAAAAGACTGTTTTTACAATTTTGTGGAAGAAACAGAACTGGCCTCTGTCAGAAGTGGTATACCAAGACCATTTGTCTTCTCATACCCAGGAAGGCTATAGCCTACATTCTTGTTTTATTAGAGGAAAGGATCTAACTCAGCATTTCTGAGAAATACAGTGGAGGTATGAGCTTGTCCCCCAGTGGAACCTGGGTCCGTTTTCACTTTGATGCATCTATTTAAGAGTCCCAAGTAGGTATATGGAGGAAGTTCAGTCAATAAAGATGGATGACTCAACACCATGGGAGTTTGAAAACTGTGGTTCTAAAAATACTGTTTCAAATTTATGCCATCTGGCCAAACACATTATTTTAGCAGTTAATGATTAATTTGATGAAAGGGTAAGGTTTTTGTTTTGCTTCTGTAATGTTCTCCTCGCTGTTAAATTAGGACTGGTGCATTTAAAAGCAAACCTTCCCTTTTTTGTAGCGCATCATCTGTACTTTGCATTCTGAATGTTCTTGGTTATGAAAGAACAGGAATGATAAACTTCAACGTTGCCTGCCTTACTGTAATTATCTTGTACAGAGAATCATATTTATCTCGAACCTACTCTGAAGTAAGTTCAGTTGAGCTGAGTTTGACACACTCCTAAGTGTATAGGATAGGAGCCTAAAAGTTGTAAGTATCCTGTTAACCAGGAATACATTTTTTTAGAGACTTAACAAAGAACACACTTCACATTATAAGTGGTAAATATAATTTTGAGCACTTGAAACTTAAGGCAACTGTTGGTCATAGTCATGTCCAGATAAAAATATTACAAAACATCTTTATATTGGAAGCTTTGAAATTCCTGAAACTATGAACTTTAGTGCACAAAAGGGCTTCTGTGTATTAAACAGAGGAAAATACACACCAAAAGAATGTTGTTTACACTGATTTTCCATGCATGCAAAACCCAAATCATTTTCTTGGTCCATTATCATTACCATGTGGGTTTTAAAAAAATAAATAGAGGTCAATTCATTAAAATGTAAGTGGGCCATTTGTTCACATTCCCCCTGATGTGTTCCACATATAGCCAGAGATCAAGAAAGGTCATAGAAATAAGTAATTCAAGCTCCCACAGCTACCTAACATAAAGCCACAAAAATATAATGGGAAGGAGCACATGGTTCCTAGGTTCAGTCCATGGCATCTGCAGTGTAATAGATCTTGGACAGCAAGACAGAGAAACATCTGCTGGGGGGAGGACTTTAGACAGTTTTATATTTCTTTTCTTTATACATTGTGGCCACTGAACTTGAAGGGCAATGGCTACAGGGAAGCTGTAGAGATACTTCTTCACTCTTCCCCCCCCCACAGTTTTTCCAGTGAAAATCACCCCCTAAATTGTTTTCATTCCCACAAATGAAAATATGCAAGTATGTTTGTTTATTTTACTTCACTGGAGGCAAAAACTGCTGAGTGTGTCCTTCCCCCACTTTTTACCAGTAGAAAAAATGGCATGGAGTTAAGAAGGGCCACTTCTCCTGTCCTAGACTTCCACTTCTGATTGCAGCTTCAGTGGCTACATTCGGGTTTTCAGAACAAAACAGAACACACCCATCCTGAGACCCAGAGAGCTGGTGCTAGAGGAGTCGTTACTTAGCTAGAGAGACCAATGATTAAGGCAGTTTAAAAACATTCAGCAGAAGGTGGACCACAAATTTTAACAAACATAAAAGGAAGGACACTCCTACTATAGATGCAACACTAGTCCTGTTTTTGTGTTTTCTTTAGCACAGAGGTAGCCAGCATTGTGCCCTCCAGAAGTTGCTGGACTTCAACTCCCATCATCCCTCACCATTCATTCTGGTTGGGACTATGGGAGTTAGAGTCCAGAAACACCTGGAGGGCATATTTGCCACAGCTGCTCTAGGACATGAAGAGAGAGCCATTACTTCCAGAGTGCACAAATGCTTTTAAAGGGAGCTGCAGAAAAACTAGGGTTTTCTAGGCCAGACTGAAAGAAGGCTTAAAGCAAGATGCCTCTAACCTATGCATTCATATGCATACCTTCCCCTGTTGCTATGCATTTTGAACCATTTTTGTTGTTGTTGGAGAACTGCATTGCAAGATTCAGAGAAGTGCAAAGTTTGAGTAATGGCTGCATTTTGGTTTATGTATTGTTTCGGGAAGAGTGAATTAGGTAGGGTTGCATTGAAATGCAACTGAACCAAATTTTATTCATATATAGCAACACAATTGGATTCAGGAAAAGGCCAGACAAGTTCTAAAAGGAAAAAAATGGCTTGCCTAAAGCGGTTCCCTCATTGTGAGATGTGAGGTTACAGGGAACTAGGCAGAGGCCCTTCTCGGTGGTGGGACCCACCTTGTGGAACGCCCTCCCATCGGATGTCAAGGAAATAAACAACTATCTGACCTTTAGAAGACATCTGAAGGCAGCCCTATTTAGGGAAGTTTTTAATGTTTGATGTTTTATTCTCTTTTTAATCTGTTGGGAGCTGCCCTGAGTGGCTGGGGAAACCTGGCTTCTGAGGCAGATGGGTGGGGTATTAACAACATCATCAACAATAATAATAATTTCTCCATCAAAAGTATGAGCCAGAGAATTGGTGATTTCTAGCTCAGTTGTTTTGCTTGTACACTACCCTAGATCTTTATCCATACTATGCACGAGCGATGCTACACTCTGTGTGAATTTACAGCAGCGTTGCAGCCTGTACAGTATTGGTGGAAGTTTGTTTTAAATAGCCTTGTTTTAAATCACTGTGCTGCTGCATGGCAGGAAGAATGCATATGCATACTGCAGGGGAAATTGGGGATTCCATTATTTAGCTCTTGGAAGAAGGGGGGGGAAGGATTGTTGGGTTCCTACAGTTCAGATCAATGTGACAGATCCAGATGAGGGTGCAGTACTGCCATGTTGCAGTAGAGTGTTTACTTTGAAGTAATCTTATTTGCTTCAACCACTTTGCTGTAAGTGGTTAAGATTTGTCAACAGGACTATTGCTGCTGCATGTTGTTGTTGTTGTTGTTGTTGTTGTTGTTGTTGTTGTTGTTGTTGTTGTATACCCCACCCATTTGGCTGGGTTTCCCTAGCTACTCTGGGCAGTTTCCAGCACATATAAAAACATAATAAAACATCAAACGTTAAAAACTTTCCTAAGTGAAATCTCTTTGCTGTAAAATTTTAAGAAAGCAGTAATTCGCTCTAGAATATTTGATTGCACTAGTTAGAAAAGTGTTTTTCTGTTCACAGAGTTATTTTTGGATCTTCTTAAATGCAAACATATTTTAACCATTTTAAAGCATCCCAAATAATCACATTGTGGCAGGAGATCACAGCAACTGAAAGGAGTATCTTAACATTGTTCCTAGAAGCAATTTGGTTTTAACTTGTTGCAATTAAAGAGAAAATTGGCGTGACCTTGTCCATGCATTCAGTTAATGCATCACATTTACTTCTTGATTGCTTGTGAACTCTCAAAGGAATCATTTTTGTAAGAATTTTCAGAGCAATAGCTATGTTAAGTTTGTTGCAGCAAAAACAATGAAAAGTTATGTTGGTCCTTAAATACTAACAGATCTTATTATGGCCCACATTTTCATTGACTAGAGTCCAGTTCATAAGATATACAATGTTTCATAGGAGTTTGTAAACAGTAAGGTCAGAGGGAAATAACATGCAAAATGTACAAATACTGACAATTGAATGAGACCTAGAATTTATGTAAAATAACTACAGTGACTCTTTACAATAACAGTTATGAGTGATAAATCAACTTGGCACTGCTGAGTTAACTTCTGTAGTTGGAAAGGGAAATATTGTCTTTATTTATATTCAAATCAAAAATCCTGGACAGTGGCTGCCAATCAGTGTTCTAGATGGACTGTTCTAGATGGACCAATAATCTGACACAATGGAAGGGTTGGCATCTGGGTTTGTTGAAAAGTCTGGTCCTTGTACACATGTCTGTGTTATTGAGGAATGGTAGCTGTTTTAGATGGGGTGTGTCTGTAAGCAATAACAGGCCTACCACCCACAGTCTGAAAGAGAGAAGTATTATTGCCTGGTTGTAAATCCTTGATGATGTATTTGGCAACAAGTGCTGTCTGTCTTTTTCATTTCTGGGTCTGTCATTACTAAATTATTCACGCGGTATCAATCTGAACTCGTAACTCTGTTTTATCACTTCATTGTGTGGGTGGGTTCTGTAGATTTAGGAAAGTCTGGGTTGTAAAACCTTCAATTGTGAGTAGAAACTTGTCTAATGCAAGTGTAAGCAATGTATGCACTCTAGATGGCCAGCCAATCGGCTGGCTGGAGGGGGCGTGGCTTGCCCTTTTTAGGGCCGGAGCGGAGGGGGCTCGCCCTCTCTTCTCCGGCTAGCCCCATTGCCGCTCGCTACATCCTATCGCCGCTCGCTACTGGGCCTGCGCATGCTCGGCGAGCACACGCGGGGCGGCGAGCGAGCGAGCTCCCACATCCGACGGCACCAAGCAGGGGCCCTTGGCCGTGCCGGTGCCCACCGTGCCCGCCTCCGCCCAGGAGGGCGGCAAGCAGCCACCGCCACCACCACCCCCGCCGCTGCCCGGCAACCGCGCCGCCGCCCCCGGCTCCCCGCGGCGGGTGATTGTGCAGGCTTCGACGGGCGAGCTGCGAGCTCGGCGGGCAGCGCCTCCGTCCGCAGCGCCCGCCTCGCGGCTCTCATTCCCTGCCCCTGCCAAAGCTCACTCAGCCAAGCCGTGCTCTCCTTCCTGCCTCGCTTTGCTGCCTCCTCCCCCCCCCCACCCCCAAAGCTTGGAGGTTCCCTGGCAAGGGGGAGGGAAAAAATTGAAAACTTTCACTTTCGTGCGTCCCTCCCGGCGTGACGCTGCGCGCTGACGTCACGGGGCTGTAATGGTGGTGTGCCGCGAGATTTTTTTCATCAAACAAGTGTGCCGTTGCCCAAAAAAGGTTGGGAAACACTGCTCTAGATGTTGTGAACTACAACTCCCATCAGCCCTGGCCACTGGCCTTGCTCTCTAGAGCTGTTGAAAGTTGTAGTCCAAAACTACAAGCAAAACTAAAGTAGACGGGGTTGTATAGCAGGGTTTAGCTGTAGACAATAGATTTTGTGCTGAGTCCTAGGTGGAAGCTGGAAGCATATAGATATATGTAGGGGTCATTAGGTTTCCAATATAAGATTGTGTCTATATGTTCTATGATTCTATGTCCATTATGTAATTGTAGTGACAAGAACATACACCTTCTACATGGACTAGTCTAGGCTCAACTTGATGTTGGGGTGGAAGTTACCAAAGTTCTGGTGGAACTTCTCAAACCAGCAATGGTAGCTATTCCTTCCAATTCCCTAGAAATTCCATGCTATTTCCCTCACTGCTAATCTGGCTGCTGGCATATAATATGTCTCTCTGTGTCCCTGGTCACTTCTTTCTTTGTCACTATGGTTCCAACATAGTGTTTTTATGCAGCTTTATACACCGTTTTTAACTCTTAAGGGTGCAACCCCTCCACCTCCATTTCCCACCAAGGTCATTTGAGAAATGCTCATCAGAAAAATCCAGCTGGAACAAAATTTCTAACAGGTAGAGTTTGGTCAGCATGCTTCGGTACTGCTCACAACAAATAGGCTGTACACTCTCTGCATACTAAGTAGAACCTTAATTCTTAAACTGACCACAGTAAGACCAAATCCACTTGATGAAATGATCTATTAAAGTGTGAGCTGCTGTAAGTGACCTACTCTAGAATTAGGAAACTTTTGAGCCCAGTTATTTGTTTAACTGATATGCAAGAGATTGCCCTAGTAACTGTACCTCCATCTATTTGATATGTATGAGGGCTTTGAATATTTTATAATGGTTATGGTTGTATTCACTTCAAACAACAGCTTCAAAAAGCGCACACATACAGCTGAATTAAAATCCCAGTAAATTCTTTGTTGTCCAAATCAGCATGGAATAATAATTTGGATTTTTAAACTCGCTGCTTTGAAGGCTTCTCCAGTAGGTAATATTCTAGGTGTCTTCTTATAAGGATTTAAAAACTATTATTTAACATCTACTCCTGGTCTGATTTCTCAGACAGATAATGAGTGTTTTAATCTTCATGTGAAGAACGAGAAGCAGAATTGTAAAGATGCTACAGAGAAAGGCGCTGGGGAACACATTTGTGAGCCGCCACAAATTCTCAGGGAAGCGTGGGCATAAATTCAGCACACATCAGATCTTAATAGAACATAATATACTCCAGAAAGCGAAGAGATAATGTATCCTGATGTATTCAGTATTTGACTTTGATGTAAGCTTAAGCATTATTCCATATGTTTTATTCTAGCACGAAATTAATCCTGGCTGGATACCATTGCACATTAATTATCAACTATGACTAAGTCCGACTGGCTTGTTTTCATAAGGTTATGTATGAGATATCTGCAGTGAGACAGCAAGGTTTTAAGAATATCATTAAGAACTGCTACAGTTAATATTGGCCTTCTGAAGCACCTAGTAAGATTTGCATATGCTTCAGTTATTCTTCCCCATGTTTAAAATGACATGAGGTGTTTGAGCAGGTTTACAATATTAAAGCAGAAAACTATATAATATACTTACATCCTAGTGTTAATACCATGTCTACTCATCCATGGACTCTAGATGCAATTAAGAATTTGGGGTGCGGGGTGCAATCCAGTCACAGCTAAATACTTCTAAGTCCCATGGATTTCTGTGGGAGAGTTAAGCAGGTGCAGAACTCTCACTTACTGGGCAGGACACATCCAAGTTTAAGCACTTTTAAGAGGCATTGAAGTTAGCACACTCTTGTATGTTCCTGGCAGGACACCAAGGAAGGGGCGGAGGATGCCGGCTAGGGGTGTAGCCACAACTGGTACACACCGGGACAAGCTGTACATGGGGAAGGGGAAGTTGGGGACTTAGGGGGTACTTACGGAACATCGGAGGATGTTGAAGGGACAGCTGATAGTTCATGGGAGCCAGGGGAAGGGGACACATCACCAGAACCAGAGATGCCCTCATATCTGTGGACAGGCCAAGCTTCTGTGGCATTGGGAACTATGGGAAGTGCACTCCAGGAGACTGAGGCAGGCAAGGGAAGACAGCCCAGCTCACTAGTGGACCAGGTGGAGATCATGGGACTTGTTAAATCTGAAAGGAGGTTGTGGTCACTCAGCTGGATTAAACTCAGGGCAGGTGAGGATCACATGCTTTTGTCAAGTGGAGAGACATAGCTGCTCAGTTGCAGTAAGCTCAGGTGCATCAATCAAGACTGGGAAGGATAGAAGGGAAGCAAGGCAGAGACACTGTTTGTTCAACTTTCTCTGTTGATGGACCACAGCTTGGGTGCTTTGGGAATGCCCCTAGATTGTGACTTTGGGACTGATCCCAGGTGCTTCAATCCCCCCTGGATCTTCTGCAGAGGCTGGAACCTGACCTTACTGATTGACTTCAGACCTTGCTCGTTGTATTGGACCTAGACTGGTATTTGACCATTTGGACCATCTGACTACTCTGTAATGTTACCCTTGGGACTGTGTGCACCATCAGGACTGACCTCCGGGTATGCTGAGGTTCAGGACACAAACTATATTAAATGGGATTTATTCCTAGTTAACTATGCATATGATTGAACCCTTAAGAAAGCTTACAGTTGGGTGGATCATGCTTAAGAAGCAGAGAAAAACACGCTTACTTAATTCTCCTATTGACCTTTTGAGCTGATTGTTATATATTTTATAGGGATTAACTTGATCAGCCTTTGTCTGTCTGGTGCCCTCCAGGTGTTTTCCATAATGGAAATTGCAGTCCAAAATTTCTGGTGGATACCAGGTTGGCAAAGGTTGCACTAGATGCTAGTCTATGCTCATCTGAACTGAGGTTCCCCATCCAGTGCGAGTGCAGCGGGATTGTAGCAGTATTACATCATTCAGAGAAAAGTGAATGATACAAAAGGAGAAAAATATGGAAGTAGGTGGGGACATGTTTCCCCAGTTTTCAAACACAGTGATTTTATACATTTAATTGAAACTTGGCATTTAACAGTTCTAAATTCTGACTACCTTTATTTAAGTGAACTTTGAGACCCCTGATATTCTCTGCTGTTATCTTTACGTATTGTATGTTATCCTATTCATACCTTTCGGAAGCATGTTAAAAGTAGTCAATTAGGCACACAGAGACAATTGTTACTTCTGAAGTCATAACTGAATTCTGGGTACCAGACTCCTTCCTCGAAGAATGGAAAGATTAAATAACTTCAAACATCTTACGTGCTGCATTTTTCTGCCACATAACATCATGGAAATTGTGATGGTGGAATAATTGTCTCTATAGGACAGCATAGTAAGCAGATGTTCATACGCCCCAAAGGAACAAATGAACACAGCATGATGGTTGCTCCTCATTTCCAAATACTGGATTCTATTAATGAAGATAAATGTAAACTGCATTCTTCCCCAGTAATGCTTTTGCACGTTAAGCAATTGCAATTGCTATAGTTGTAACTGCAGGAAAACAGCAATTAACAACAATCATGCAGTTACTACAGAGACAATATCCTTCTGGTGTTTGAAGGATGTGATGCACACAGTTACCAATAGGACACAACATAATTTCTGCACAGAGAAGTGAATCATTCTATGAAAACAATTACAGTTTCCCATATTATGTGTTTCTTCAGAACAATAATACTAATCAAAGAATGAGACAATGCTATTTGGCAAACAAATAGCTAAGTGCTCTGGAAACACTAAGATTTTTTGGGGGAAGAATGAAGATCTCAAGTGGGGCCTGGCATAGCGGTATAGTGTATGAATTCAAAATTGTATTCTTCTATAGTGGTATGGTAATAGAAAGGTTGTATCTGCTGCTATAGTGTGACTCCTAAAGTTTTAGGGTCTTACAATCAGTGTTAATGCTGACAGATGCCTCCTTTGTAAAGTATTGACGCTTTCAAACAATATTTGTTCCTATGTGGTAGATCTGGATATGTCTGTAGAGCCCTTACGGAAGAGAATAGCTATACTCTGAGCACTTCTTACCCTGCATTCTTCAGACATGTGATGCTTCAGTCCACTGTGAACTAACCATTCAAAGCTCTGAATTGTGTTTTCAGAATTGTTCTGAGACAAAGCCATAAGCTGGTTCTGATAAACAATAAAATGGAGTTCAAGATTATTATTAATTGCTTGGAAAGCATAAGGATCTGCATGTTCTCAAGACCCTGAATTGGAAACCTACAGTGAAACACATATTTAATAACAACATCTCTTCACAGAATAGCTAGCTGCTTACAAAAATGCAAGAAATCCCTTAATTCACCCACACCAGCCTGATGCCAACCCCCTTTTGCCTTGGGTCCAGTAATCTTTTAACTACATTTGGCTTGGCAGTCCTAGGAATGAGTTCATAATTCTTAAGTGTTGGTGCTAAGCTGCTGCAAGCCTTCTAGAACAAGCAGAGGAAGAAAACACCTTTGGGGGGAAAGGCAGTGGTAGAGCATCTGCTTGCATGCAAAAGATCACAGGTTCAATCCCTGGCATCTGCAGGCAGGACTGGGAGAGATTTCCTATCTGAAATTCTGGAGAGTCACTGTCAGTGCAGAATTTGCTGAGCTAGATGGACACCAGTGGGTCTGACTCATTTGAGATGGGCTTTTCAGATCTAAGCCATCTCAGAAAGGGATATAGCCAACCTCTTCTCAACTACCTTCAGAGACGTTCTCTAATGTTGTAGCATCCCAAGCTTTACTTAGACAGATGTCCTATTGATTTTAGGATCAGAGTCAACCACAAAATAAATCATCATCATCATCATCATCATCATCATCATCATCATCATCACTTGGGAAATGGATCTATACAGACATAAAGTACAAGCAGAGGTTCAATTCACCCACACCAGTGTTTCAGATCACATGTGATTATTCAACAGGAGCAATTAATATTTCCATACCATCATTTCTAGTTTCAAGGTCCAAAGATGCTGCTTTCATATCTGTTTTGTTAGCTGTAGCAGACTCCTGTAGATTAAAGTGGAAACAATGGGGAAAGCAGGTTTAGATCCAAATACCCTGATGAACATCCTGTCTTGATTTCAGGCATAATGATGAAGTAAATATTACCTTGATTAAAGAGCTTTTTTTTAAAAAAAATGCAAATGAACTATGAATGTTTGGACTTGAATGAAATTTGGCAGACTACTTGGCAAACAGAGAGATTTGATTTCATTGAGCCATGTCGTTTCCAGCAAAATGTTACCGGGGAAGAAGAAAATTCAGCCCAGGTCTTACCACTTAACTACATTTGAGTTACTTCATTGCTTCTTCTAACATATTCAGCCAGGAAAAAACCTTTATTTATTTATTATTTTGGCCAGGCCAATAATCAGATCACCATATATATTATGCTGTTCTTTGAGATTCCTGACTTTGTGTGGAACCAGTTACTAATGGGAGAACTTGAATGATGTGCCCATTTCACTGCAACACTGAAACCTGTAAATCCTAACCTATTTGATCGCACAGAAAGGGTGTAAAGAATTTGTTTGTTCCCGTCACTGGAGGGAAAAGTATCTGCAGGCAGGAGAGTTCCATACAGACATTGGGGCTCCTGTACACATAATGATAATTAGAGGATGGAACTGGTATTCTACTGGGCCAATAGGAGAAGTGGGCCCTCCATGCCTTTCTTTCCAGCACTTGGGCCTTTCCTCAGGCTGCCTCCACCCAACTCTCTAGACCACACTCCTCATCCTGGGCCAGCCATCCTCAAATACTCTTGCCAGGCTGCAATGTGCCTTTAAACTGTGGTAATGCTTTTTGCTTCCCTAGGTGGAGAGAAATGAGGGTGGGAGTAAGTAAACGCCTTTTGTGGCTGGGATATAGCCAATGGTACAAAGGTAAAACTCGCACCCATTGATCTGCCCTCTTTTGCCTCCGGCCCCAGCAGATTTCTCATAAGGAATGCAGCCCTCAGGTTGAAAAAGGTTGCCGCCCTTGCTTAAGATAGTAAGGCCGCTGCAGAAATCACCAGTTCCTAAGCCCTGCCTGTGCATGCCAGCCAGGGCAGGAGGGAATGGGGAGAAGATTCTGCTCTAAGCTTATATACCCGTGACCTCTAATATTTGCAAATTAACTGTATCAGCTTCAGATGGAGCTTCTGATTGGTAGTTCTTCATTAAATAAATAGCCACATATTGTCAATTTCCATAAATTATTGTCCCCTTCCAGAGAAGCAGCTTCTGTAATAGAGGTTTGGAGGCCCATTTTCTGAGAGTTGCTTCAGTGCCATTGGGGTAACATTTAAATGATCCAGCCCCATGGATGTTGATCTTTCCCGTGCAGTTGGAAACCGCTCTCCTGATTCTCATCAGCAGGACCCCAGTCTACACAGCTGGAACATTTAAATGTTACTGCATCAACATATTTGATTCCCCCCCCCACCTTCATTTTAGGAAACAGCTGCTACTGCACAGCAACATGACCGTCTACTAAATTATTACATTTCCCACTGTCTTTTTTTGGAGCTTAAACTAAAAGGGCTGGATATTATCAGTTACTTCTCCTGCTTTTAGAGACTTTAATTCAAAGTTTCCTATTTTGCTACTCTTTGCTGTTCATTAAGGCGGGTGGGGAGGGTGGGGGGAGAGAGCGCTGGCATTTTTTAGCCAAGAGCCTGCTAAGTTCAAAAGAACCCGAAGCCTTTGAAAAGACAGCAGCAAGAACATCTGAACAACAAGTAAAAGAACTGACTGTTTCTCTAGGGAATCGGAGATAATGCACAGGGCTTTCTGTGGATCTTGTCTTTAATTTAGGCTCATATGAATTCACACCTTTTTTTAAAAAAAAAGCCAGTGGAAAAAGGAGACTAAACTCTCCTAATATTATTTATTTCAGGATTGCTGGGCTAACTTGGTTTTAATGTCAAAATAGTCATAGACTGTCTATCACAGGTTCATGACTTTGGATGTTCTAAATATATTTTATTTGTAATTATTTTATGATTGAATGTCCATTAGTCGCCCTGGGCAGCATGCAAATATAGAATGAATGAACAAAGAAGTACAACCTTTCATCAGTGCAGTAACTTCTGCTTTTGTCCAACAGCAACTTATTGAAAATATAGGGTTGCATTCAATGTAGCACTAAAGCTACGCAAATCGTTCCGTCAGTGCAAGGATTTCTCCTTGTGCAATGCAACATTATTCCTCTCCTCCCTCTGTGCATGCTCTAAATCTCTTCTGGAGCTACCCCAACCCTCTGGATCAGATTTTGGGGTGGTGGGGGTACATGCAAGGGGAAGAGGGGCGAGTCTTGTTGCAGTCATGTTATTCCTTACTAGCACAATTATTTAGTTGAATACCACTCACAAAAAGGCCAACTTGTGCAAGGCACTTCCACAGGCTGTAAAACTGCACATAGCTGGTGCAAATTCCAGTTGGGATGTTTCAAATATCTACTGCCAGCTGAATGTGCAAATTACTGTGAATTTCACTGACAACATTCCTCTATAATGTCTAAATCTGTTTTCACCAATGGTGCATGTTGAACAGGGTTCATAGCAAGTATGAAACTGAGATGCCAATTCTAAAGTCACCCAGGAAAAGGTTCCACTGAAATCCAAGGAAGTGTTTAGGATTAAGGAAGAAGAAAAGCTATATACAACTCTATTGCTTCCTTCTGTTAATCACAGCATGCAACAGAGCTAAGGAATAAAGACGGCAGACAGCAGGATGAACCATCTTGGATTTATGCCTCTTGAACAATTCCAGAGGTCTTCTTCCTTTTGAAAATACTTAGCTAGAGATAAATAGGCTCCTGAAGAAATACAGTTGCCTCAATACAAATGGCTCATTTCTCAGATGTTAAGCCTGCCTGATTGCAACAGAACTGACTTCCAGCTGATGTATTTGTGTCTGAATTTAAGATTATAACCTTTGCAATGCTTTTAATCATTCTGCAGCGAGTGTGCATATATGGATGGAGCAAGAAGCCTATTTGAAACTTAATTTTCTAGTCAATCCCACTGAACTTTTCCTTCAGGGAGACTAGAATTACATAAATTGCACTTTCTTTGAATTGCTTCAATATATGAATTACACCACCGTATGGTGTCCCTGGGCCAGATTCAATTCTTTGCATTCAAACTGTGACTAAAGCATGTTACCTTATACAAAAAACATGAACTGGAGAGGGTGAATTTTATGGGAGACATTAATCTATGCCAAAGCTGTTAGTCAGTCATGGTAGGTGGCATTAAATTTGCATGTTATGCCCATTGTGTGTAGCTCCAGTGGTCATTCTCTCTAGAAAGGAAAATAATTGTACAAAGAGAGAGCGATTCAGTTTTTTAGTCAATTTCCTTATATGTATCAAAGTATATACAACTCAAATATACTATCATCTCCCTTTAGCTCATTCCTTCTTGGATATGCCCAGTAAGGTGCATCTCAATCATTCCCTCCCTTTCATAAATACAAATAAGAAACAAACAGGCCCAGCTTGGCACATTTTGCCATCTGAGGCAGACAAGCAAATCACTACCCCACCAGTCAGCTGTATTGTACCCAAGGCTGACCAAGTTATTTTTGGCACCTGAAGCAGAACGTTTAACAAATGCCTCTGCCTGGGAGGAAAAGCGCAATCATAGTAAATTTAATAATTTACAATTTGCAGCTTTTTCATGACATCCACAACTAGCTGCCTGAGATTACCACCTCACTCTGCCTAATGGTAGGGCTGGCCCTGGAAAATAATGCCTTTAAAAAGTCCAGAAGGTTAATCAGAGCAAAATAAAAATCCCTGGAGCTAAATAGACAAGGAATTTCATGTTTGAAAACCTATAATGAACATCTGCCACAGACCTGCTTCTCTCAGGAAAGAAGAGGTTTGGCAGAGGGATATGCAGGCTAGCAAGAAAATTCTCTAAGCCTAAATCTGGACATCTTGCCCATGTGTTTCCATATTGTCAACTCAAGTTGCGTTATACATAGAGGTTATGAAGCCCAGCCAGCTATTCTGAGATGTAGATTTGAGCTATTTATGCTTGTATCACATTTCTTGGATATAGCTGTCAAATCCTGTCTTGACAGCTTGCAAATATTTAATGAGCAAGAACACAACTCTCTCTCTTTTAAAAAAAATGCTTGAGTTTATGTTTTCTCTTCCAAATACATCCTACTTTTCCTTTGCTACTGTTCTGTTATGCCCTTGTTTTATTAAAGGCTCTGACCCCCATAAAGAGCTTACTGGAGCCACAGTGGATGTTGTTTCACTGCTTGGCAAACCAATCACAAATATTTTCAAATACTGTGTTCCTATATTTTTAATCTAGGCAACATTATCAGCACTTAAGCCAAGAACAAATGCCTGGATATTCAGAAAGTGCCAGGGACTCCCTAAAACTATACCAAGAAGTTTAAGGGAGGGGAGAAATATTTTGCAGAAAATCCATGGCTATTCATTTGTTGTCCAGCAGAGGGTGACCTAAGTATGCTATAAAGCCAAAACACCAGTCTTCTGCTTTTATCAGTGTTTTCTTCTATACTGTCTAATAAGATGTCCCTGCAGCTTACAATAATTCTGGAAATAGACAGAGAGTCATATTTTCTCTAATTATCTTTGCTAGTTACAAAACACAATGAAGGGAATAAATCTTAATTAAAATATTTAAAATGTTCCATGGAAAATATGAAAAGTGTGTTCACTGTGTCAGCAACAATGAGTTTTGTGGCACCTTAAAGACCAACCAATGTATTGCGACATAAGCTTTAATGGGCTAGAGGTGGCCTCTAGTTCATCAAAGTCAGTCAATAGGTTTGCTTCATTTTTATAATTTTGAGTTTTGTTATCTGTTGTTTTATTGTAAACTGCTTTGAGTACACTCTGGTGTAGAAAAGCACAATAGAAATGTTTAAAGAAATGATTAAATAGATATTGATGATTGTTATGCCACAGGCCAGATCCTGATCTCCCCCATCCCCTGTGGGCCAATTCTGACAGGTAATCAATCACCTGATGTC